ATCCAATTACACTAGATTTCACTAGATGCGGATGGCACTAATGACGTGAAATAAATATTTATAATCATTAAACCAAATCCAAGAGTAACGAGTAATGTTTATTTTAAGAATGTAAGGAATAGAAAGTACAGATACTTGTGTTAAAATGTAATGAGTAGAAGTCAGAAGTAGGAAGAAAAATAAGTAATGGAGTAAAGTATAGAAACCTAAAAAGTGTACTTAAATACAGTAACAAAGTATTTGTACTTCGTTACTTGACACCTCTGTAAACCCATTAGATTGTTGCTTGATGCCTATGACAGATCAATATGTGGATGTACCATAATTTGCCAACTGAATAAAAGCAAAACTGAGGTAATAATCTTTGGACCAATGGAGGAGAGATATAGTGTTAGCTTACAGCTTCAGCTACTAAAGCTAGAAACCACGTATGGTTGAAATCTTGGTGTCATGATAACTCAGACCTGAACCATCATAAACAAAAAAAGGCAGTTACTAAGTCAGCTTTGTGTCAAATTAAGAACCTTTTCATGATTAAAGGACCAATGTCCTTGCAGGATTTGTCTGTGTTGATATTGATATCCACAAAATACATCTTGAATGTAACACTTTGATTGATTGCTATAGGTCGGATGCATTCAACATGGATATGCTTGACGTCACAACCACCAAGCTACTTGGGAACATCCGACCCGAAGTAAATTCAGAAAAGTAGCCTTCAGGCTTATAGATAAATCGGACCTGCACCACTGAGGTGTCAGTCTGCTCATTAAACCATGTTTTAGTCATAAAGCGTTAAATAAAAAGGCTATTTTAAAGATTTTTCTCAGTAACAGCTTAGATAAAATCTCTTTAAATAAGTTGTCATTAGATGAGTTTGTGGCTTTTTTCTACTTGTTTTACTACCTGCTTTTATCATGTTTTTACCATTACTTGCTTTCATCTGCTTTTATTTTATGCACTTTGAATTGTCTTTGTACTGAATTGCACTACACAAATAAACTTGCCTTGCCTTAATACCTGCTACTTTTATCACCTTTCAGAGAGCTATTTCACTTGAATTCAAATATGCTATAGCAGGCCTCAGCCCCTAACCTGTGTTTGCACTTGCACTTTATACACATTGCACTGACAAGAAGGGTGAGATCTCTCCTTCAGACAAAGTATGGCAACTTTTTGTCAATGTGGCAGTGAGAATGCCTTCAAAACAAATGGAGCCAGGAAGATCTGTTCCCAGTGACTGAGAGAACATGCATGAGCACTTTGTTTATTGCAGCCAAAAACAAGATACTTGCCTTTTCCAGAATGCATTTCAAAGCGCTAGGGGAACTTCTTTTTAGGATAAAAAATATATATCTCTTTTTTGTTGTTTTCTTTTTTTAAGGTTGTGGTTGTTTTGGGTTTGCTCTTTCCTGCACAGAGACATCAGTGTTAATACAGCATCATGTCTAACTACCATTTACATTCAGTGCGTTAGAGATTCGTTCCTCTTTCACTGCTTGAGAAGCTGAAAATTATTGCAGCAATGGCCTTAGAGTTAACAAAGGAAATCATGGTCAGTCTGGTATACAGTAGTTCCACATTTCTGGTGAGAAAAGTAACAACCTTAACTGAAACCCAGAGACGGCGTCAGTATCACGGTAAGAAATGCACAAATAGTTGTTTAAACTCATAAATTATACACGATGAATTAATGTCAGCATTCACTGTATTTGAAGCTAGTTTATATAGTTCACTGAAAAGGATGATATATAAGTGGAGGTTGTTCTTCTCTTGGTTACCCATGTAAAACAAAAATAACAAAGTTTGCAAAAGAAGGTGGGAGTAAGAAACCATTAGGATTCTCAGAGCACTCAAATTAGATGGGCATTATCAAGCTTGATTGTTTAAAACTTCATTAACTGCCTGGTCTGACAACTGTTTCCTGGTACTCTCACACATATGCTTTTTGAGACTTGTTTATGACACGTTTTTATGACTTGGCTTCCCAGCACTTCCTCTGCATTTACACTTATAGCAGACAATAAAGTTTCTGTCTGGCTTTTATATTCTGATGGTCACCATGTTCAGTCTGAGGCAAGCAGCTCTAGTTCTTATTCATCTGATGAAAATACAGAGTCTCTTTGAAGGTAAGGTGAATATATCTTTTTCCTCATTGTTTCCTACAGAACTGAACTGAGTTTAACTGCAACATTTCTGTATGTTTCAGTATCAGCCACTCAGACGGCACATTTTAATAAGTCTGTGTCCAGCGGCGACCCGGTCACATTTACTTGCAATATCTCTGGGAATACCACCAAGGAAATCACCTGGACCGATGGCAGATATCATTTTGTGAATATTAGTCAAAATCAGACATTCTCAAATTTCTCAACCGAAAGAGTTAAAATAGACTCTGAGATGCCTTCTAAGTTCATCATCTTCAGAGCTCAACATAATGATGCAGGATTTTACACATGTAGTATAACTGATACAGAGGGCGTCCATGAAAACACATGGAATTTAACTGTTTCGGAAAGTAACGCACAGAATTCAACTGTTTTGGAAAGAAAAGGTTT